TCAGCTGTAGAGGGGCCTTGACGGGGCTGTCCCCTAGGTATGACCTGCTCTCTGGGGTTTAATTCCCTGCTCCCGCCTGTTTTCTCACCTTGTTTTTCCAATCTTCCTGTCAACTGTTTGGGAATTAGTATTTACCCCAGGGATAGATTTTTACTTAAGAGTTTCATCTGTTTGTCTGGTTTTTAAGAACTTACTGCCACATGGTGCACCACACCACATAACAACCTTACCACAGTTCCCCTGACTTCAAGATATTCAGTGCTGCTGTGTCCCGCCCTGCCAAGGTACCACTTCTCATTTATCATCAGTTCTCTTTCCTCCTATTTCAGTCAGTCTGTCCCATGAGTTCACGTGCCATCTTACACGCTCATAATTCCCTAGTCTATTTCCAGTCCCCACCTCTCTCCTGGACCCAGGTACTTATTATGTCCATTCAGCTGTTTGGAAATTTTGATTTGGAATTCTTACATGAATATAACATGTCCAAACAGATATGTTCTTCCCTCACACAGTTTGCTCAGGCCCCAAACTTTTGATTCTTTCTTGTCTTTTTCACAATCCACATCCATTCTTTTGTAAATCTGATGAAAGCACACCTTGTATTTCACAGCATCTCACCATCTTCACTGCTGGTCTTAGCCACAGTCTTCTCTCACTTAGACCACTTCACTAGCCTCCTAAAGTGGGATTGCATATTGCTTTCAAATAAGCTTAGACTATTTTGATTATTATTTATTTATTTTTGTAAGTAAAGGTTTATTGGAATACAGCTATGTCCTTTATTTACATATTGTCTGTGACCACCTTAGCATTATGGCAGAGTTGAATAGTTGTGACAAAGGCAACATGGCCTGCAGAGCCACAAAATTTGCTATCTGGTCCTTTACAGAGAAAGCTTGCTTATTCCTGAGGTTTTTTTGGAACATTTTTGTTTGTCTTTTCCATTATCTACCCAACCCTCAGCCCCCACTGACAGTAAGTTTTGGATATAATCTTAGATTGATAGAAAAGTTGCAAGGCAGTTCAGAGAATTTCTCTATACTCTCCCATCAGTTTCCTCTAGTGGTAACATCTCATATAACCTGAATACATTTGTCAAAACTATGAAATTAATATTGGTACATCCCTATTAACTTTATTCAGACATTACCAGCTTCTCCACTAATGTCTGAATTCTGATTCAGAATTCAATCCCTTTTCTTACATGGGATTTAATCATCATTTTGCCTTAGTTTCCTTTGATCTGTAACCATTTCTCAGTTTTTCTTTGTTATTCACACACTTGACAGTTAGAATTTGTGAAATAACACTTAGTTTGGTTTTGCCTGGTATTTTTTCATGATGAGACTGGAGTTAAGTTTTTTTAGGAAGAAGACCATAGAAGTGAAGTCCTTTCTTATCAGGATATCTGATGATAGCATATTTTATCAACATGACTTGTCATTAGTGGTGGTAATTGTGTTCACTTGGTTAGGATAGTGTTTGTCAGGTTTCTTTACCTGAACAGTTACTGTTTTTCCCTTTTCCTTTCCTATTTTGGAATTGAATCACCAAGCCTACAAACTAACCCATCAGCTTATTAGAATTGTGAAAGATACATGTGGCATATGTAGCCAGATAGTTCTGGGAATGTATAGTCCTTAAATATGTAAGTATTTCTAAAATTACCATTGTGGAAATTGCTTGTATATATCAAACATAGGTTTTTTGTTGTTGTTGTCTTCTTGAATGAAACAAGCTGTTTTCCCCTTAAGAGGCCAAGATCAGCCAGGGAGGAAGAGGCAGAATCATTTGTTTTCCCCTAGAAGGGACTCTACAAACTTTTGTCCTGATATGCAAAACCCTGTGTCTTCAGTCTTATCAAGGATCACAAGAAGAAAACAAAGTTCCCAGACAAGATTAACTTTATTTTAGTTTAATTTTCAATCTATGTATTTGCTAGTTAGCACTTTTTGAAAGAAGAGTAAAAGATAAAATATCAAGTAAAAAAATGATAGCATAATTCTTTAAAAAATTAGAAGTCACTGTACAATAGATATCAGTGCAAAATGTTAACTCTCTTAAACATTCTTTAGAATTTGTGATGATGAGTAACTACATACTGTTTTGTTCAGATTGATGCTGCTTGTGCTTTTCCATTCTTTTCCCTACTTCTTGCCTCCTTTAACTCTTACCTGACATTAAATTTTTAACACATTTTCCAAATATACTAAGCACACACTTTTGTTTACGACTTGGACCAATAACCCTCATCTTATCTAATTATCTAAGTATGTGTTAGTGACCTTATCCTGACATTAAAAAAACGAAATGAGGGCACACAAAGAGCCACAGTGGCTCGGGCAGTAAATGCCTTGATGCTGCTTATTTATGTCTAATCCTGCAGATTTATCCACATGCAGTCCCCACGCATCAGGGCAGCAGTCACTCCTTGCTCAAGTTGCAATTGCTTAGCCCTCCTGGTATTTGCAGACTTTTGCAGCTACTGTTCACAAGGTCTTGGCCACAGCACATTCATTTCTCTCACTTTATTACCATCACATCTGATTCCAATTTGCTACCAAATTGAGTTTCCAGTCTCAAGCCTGACATTCAAGCCGTCAGGTGGATTAGCTCCTTCAGCATGGTTAGCGTGGAAGCTGCAGGTCAGTTGACAGTGGCCTATTAACATCCTCTGCTCCTCATCTTGGAACCTTGGCAGCTGTCCCGTGGAGTAGCAGTGCTGGGTTACCCACTGTAACCTTTCTACTTGTTTAGAACTCATAACTCTACACCTCTTAGAAAGACTTATGATTAAAAACAGAGTTGGTTTTTATCCCTTATCTTGCTATTTCAGCAGCTTTTTCTCAGACCAAAGCAGCCAGCTTACGGTCAGGTCATCTGGTAAAATATGATTGATTTGAACTATTGGGGATCATTTATTTGGCCCTTTGCCTCATATCTCTTGAATGATCTCTTTGCATATAGAGTTAAAATAACACCTGACTTATTTTTCCCCTGTTATTAATGATAGTTACTTAAGTACTCCTCCTTTTCTTTTTTATACTGCTTTCAAATCAACTTACTGGACAGAGCAGTTTTTTACTTATTTAAGCATTTGGCCTTTTGGTATGCAATGGGTCTCAATAACACTTTTCTAAAAAGAAACAATTTGGTGAATGATGGCTTCTGGGAGTTCTTTTTTTTTTCTTTTTTTAAAGATTTGTTCATTCGTGCATACAAGAGCTGGGGTACAGGCCAGAGGTGTGGGGGGTGAGAGGATTCACCAGAGACAGAGTAGGAAACAGAACAGGAAGACTGAACGAAGTACACTGCTAAGGGGAGCAGCGGGCAAGTCAGGAGAGGTCTGCTGCGCCATGTGGGTATCTTTCTGGCCAGCCGGGGGATCAAACTCGTGCTGTAGAGTCTGCAAACAGCTTCATAGGTTGCGTCTTAACCCCTTGTATCACCAGGAAGGGCCCCTTTTTTTTCTTTTTTAAGCTTGACTACAAAGTTAATATCTCAGAGCTTGTCAAGACCAAAGATACATATATAGAAAATTATTCATTGGCTTTCTATTTACATTTCAAATCCCAAGGAATATCTGTCTTGTGCAGAGACATTTGTCATCAGGGCCTTTGTAAATGAGGGTATATTTATGTTTCAGAATCAAGGAGCCAAGTTTCGCAAACACTGTAATTCGGGGGGGCACTGAAAGATTAAAGAAAAAAAGCAAAACAAAACAAAAAAGGGAAGCATTTCACCACTGAACCCTAAAACCCTTGAAAAGAAAAGATTAGGTATCAGGAGAAAGAAGACATTCTGTTCTGAAAATTGCTGATTGTTCTTTCAATTAAACAGTGATAGAATTTTGTAACTATAAAAATATACATGAGTATATTAATATGTAAGGCATTATATAATTAAGGCAGAACCTTCCCCTCCAGTCTGATAGCCTCAAGACCATTTTCTGCTCAGTAAACTGTGCTGGAGTAAATTGTACAGTTTAGAAGTAAGAACTGAGACCACTGTCTCTGACAAACATTTAAGGAGCCAGTAAAAAATAGGGGACCAGAGCTAATAGGAAAATACCTATGGAGAGGTGATCCTCAAGATCCTTGAAGGCAAAATAATGATAATAATAAAAGATAATTATGAAACAAAAAAGGCAAATTTAGTTGAGTCTTTGGAATTTATAGTGTACTCTTTTTGAGTTAAAACAGCCAGATGACTCCTTGCTTCCTATTCCTTAATTACTATTATCAAATAGTCATTCTTGACTACTCAGGCTTCAGAAAACTTCATTAGTGACTGGAAGTATTGCTGATTGCCTTTTTGTTTGGTTGACTCTTTAGTTAGTTGGTTGGTTTTTATTTTTGTTTTATTGTTGTTGGTTTTTGTAGACTCTCTGTGGTTGGGTAGATAATGAACCTACTTTGAAACAAGTATGAGAGTCACTCTTTTAAAACTATAAAGCTCCCTATTAATTTTTGTTGCTGTTTGGTTACCGTTTTAGAGGTTCATTAACCTAATTTTAACTATCCTAAGTGATAAATCATACTTGTGTTAAGAAGTGGAACCAGAAGGAAACCTTTTGTTTCACTTTTTAGTTTAAGTATAATCTTTACTATACACAGTGATCTGCATAAGTTTATTTCTGATTTTACTGTTATTTTCATTTTATGTCTCATTAAATTATAATCCTACAAGATTTCATTTCTCTATTTATATATGTTTGATCTTTGTATATGTCCTTTGATTCTTTTGATTTTCCTTTTGCTTCATAAAGCCGTGGAACTTGACTATGGTTGGTTTGGGAGGGTTGATGTCTTTTATCCAACAGAACTTTGATAGACTGTTTATACCTTAAACTCAATATTATGTTGTTAAAATCTCCTTAGTATGGAAAATGGCAAATCAAGCATAATAAAGGATGATACATTTTATATTTTCCTTGTGGTATCTTTATAGTCTAAGGTTAATGCAGTAATTCATTTGATTTTTTTTTTTTCCTTTCACAGAAGGAGCTGAGTCTCCCCAGAAGAGGAAGCTTGTAAGTAGCACTATTTTGTTAACTATTTTGGACACAGTTTGTAATATGATTATTCTCTGACTTGTTGAGTTTTTAGTGGAAAAGGGGCGATTAATGATAGTCAACTGAATTAAGAAAGAAAGAACTTTGCATTTATGTATACATATCAAGTGTGAATGATTTCAAGGTAACTTGAAGAAAGTTTCCAGGGTTTGTTCCCTATTTATTCCAGGCGGAATCTTGTTTTCAAAAGTTCTATTCTGTTATCAAGCAAAAACATTATTTGGTCTGCAGTCATTAATATTACTCAAGAATTTGGAGACTTGTGATTATTCTTTATACTATGGATAGTATACAAAATAAATTATATACTTTTCATTAGAATTGATGAACACTGAGTTAAACTTTCTACTACTAGAACTCAATTCTTACTAGATTGATTCATGTAAGGCTCGTCTATTAAAATATCAGATTTATGAACCTTGACTTAACTTCTTTATAGTGTGTTTTGACCTTTTATTTTTAAGGCTAATAATATATTTGCAGGTCATAGTTTTTCCCCACTAGCAAGTTGCAGAATGAAATTAATTGCCTTTCATAGTCCACTAAATTCAGGGTGGATTTATTTTCAACTATTGTGGAAATGCTGGTCTATAAATATTTGATTTGGTATCTGATTTATATTGAAGAATTTAGTGAATGGGATAGTGTTCTTTTTTTTTTTTTTTTTAAAGATTTATTTATTTATTTATACAAGCACTGGGTACAGTCAGAAATGCAGGAGGGTAAGAGAATTCACCAGAGACAGAGCGGGGAACAGAACAGGCAGACTGATGAAATATACTGGTAAGGGGAGCAGCGGGTGTAGCAGGAGAGATCTGCGTGCCATGTAGGACCCTTGCCTGGTGGCCGGGGATCAAACCGGCGCTACAGAGGCTGTGGGCAGCTTCGCAGCCCAGCGCTTAACCGCTGCGCCACCAGGGGAGGCCCAGGATAGTGTTCTTAAAGAAACTAAGTATAAACCTTAAGTTTATGCAAATCTCAATTTGGAGGATTAGAAATATGTATATATGCTGACTGTTGAAAAATAGAATTAACACTGTTGACTAAAATTTGAAAAAATCCAGCTTTTGTATCTAGGAACTAAAACTTCAGCAGCCAGAAACATTGTGTTACTATCCATTTTGATCCCCTTCTCTCCCCCCTCTTTTTTTTTTTTATCAAATTTAGGCTTCTAGAAGGAGACCTGTTCATTATTCTTGGGGTAACTTAATCTCTGTGAACTAGAGGCTAATGGTCTAATAGTTTGCCATAAGAAATACCCTTAGGATCAAAAAGCTTCCCTTTTATTGTATCATGATTTGAAATCTTTCATCTGAACTTGGAAAGATTGAAATTTTTGATATTTCCATCATGATGAAAAATAAGAAGTGGCAACAAAAAATAAAACTACATGAAATATCTTTATTGAGAAATTCTCTTGTGTACTTTAATGCTTAAAATATCTCAGATTTGTCCTTTATAGTTAACTTAGGACTTTGGAACTTCAGATATTCATTTTAGCCTTTTAAATAGATTACAATTGCTTTTTTTTCCCCCCACTTTGTTTTTGAGTTAGTATGCTTCCTATAAATTATTATTAAGGTGGTATTAATTAGAAGCTTAGATCACTTTTTGCACTGTGTAAGTCTCAATTCTGTTAATGTTTGTCACGAGTTGAAGGGGAAAATATAAAGAAAACTTAAATTTCTCTATGGAAAGCCTGGAATATTTAATTTAAAGAAAAAGGATGATGACAGATCTTTGTTTGGAGTCCATACTGTTTGAGTAGTCTATAAGAGAATAATGGAATTTTATTTAAGCCATTTAAAATCCCCTTCCTCATAAAAATCAATAGGTCTGTCAATCATTATAGGAATAAAACACAGTATAGATGTTAATATAAATCTACCTTCTTAAAAAGTGAATTCTGGAAAAATTAATGCTTTCCAGTTGAAACAAACCAAAAATAAACATGCTATTTTATATTTTCTATTAAACACAAATATTCCCAAAAGAATTAATGATGGATGATATAGGTGGTCTGGGAGTTAACTCTACTCAGCATTTTCAGGGAACACAGAATGCCAGTGATTACTCTCCTCATGCAAAGCTCTTTTATGACTTTGAGAAGAAGAAAATACTTTTAAAGATAAATGCTAGAGTGATTTTAATACAAATCTTATAGAGAAGGGCACAAGTGTGTCTTTATTAGCTATTGGTGATAACCAACATAATGGTACCTGACTATTAAACCTGTTAACATAGCCTTAGTTTATTTCCTGCATAAATGCTTTTGATTCTTTTACTGCTGTCTTCCTGAAAGATTGCAAATTTGATCCTGCTGTTCTGTTGTGTCTTTTTTTCCACACTGATAGTGAGTAACTGCACAGTGTGATATATTCTTCACTGTCTTTGGTTACACAGCAATGCCACTGAGATTATCAGACAATGTGTCCCTTCAGAAGTGCTAGGTTTTTAGAAAAAGGCACCTGATTTTGTTACATCTGCTATTTCTGATTTGTATATTGTAAAGGATAATACTTAAGTGAGTTTTTAAGATTAAAAAATTAGTATTGTTTAAGCTTAAAGATGAGTTCTATGTCTGGAATTATGTGATATATATGTGTATATGTGTGTGTATAAAGTTTAAAGCTTTTGCAAATAAAAACACAAATAACACATTTTCATCTTATTAATTAAATGTTTAAAAAAGCAAGCTGTACTAGAATAAAGTAACTCAGAGACCAACTAAAATTATAATTTTTGATCATTCCCTCAAGAACAAACTGGAAGACTATGTCGTTTCACATAGATTTTTTTAAAGGCAATACTTGTGACCTTTATTTTTTGGTGCAAAGGGCAACAGGCCAGAGAAGTCAAGGGAACGGCTTTCCAGGCAAGATGTTACTATATGACCAAGCAACCCCAGATACATTAAACATTTTCAAGAGGCTTTTCTAGCTCTTTATCCACTTCAAGACCTCACACCCCATTCTACTCCTGTTCCCTTGGTAGCTGGATTTTAGCTGTCTCTCTTCTTCCTTTCAAAGAGTAGCAGTCTGCCATTGGGCTCTTGATCCCAGTTCCTTCCAGCACTTTCCCTTGTCTATATCCTAGGAACTACAGATGCTACACTTCTCTGCTTCCTCTCCTCTCAGCTACCTGTCCAAGGCTATATAGCCTTTGAATAAATCATGATGTAGTCATACCGTGACTACATATAATGGATTTACTAGCGTATAATTATGAGAAATAACGCTTAGGAAAATCTAAAAGTAAATTCCAGATATAGGATAGTATTTGAATTGTAAAATGTAAAAATATGCAGAATGAGATAAGTTCTTTTTGAAAACATTTACAGTAAAAATATAAAAAACATGCATGGGAAGCAAATTTACAATAACACTTATCAGTGGAGAGAAGAGAATGAAAGAAATGGGATTTGAGTAGGCTCAACAGGGAGTTCCATGTATATTATTGAGGTGGTGGTGTATACATGGGTGTTTATAATATACCGTCTGCATTTTGATACTTTTGAAATAATTTCTTTAAAATGCTCAGTAAGTGCATGAAGGTAGAATCAAACTGTTTTAATCAAATACTTATGAAGACTTAAAAATAATTTGAAGAAAAAATTATGACTTTATTTTGAAAAAAAGTTTAAGCCTTAGCTGGGTTTTTTGGATTTTGTCTCATTTTGCAGATTGGCCTAAGCAAGTGCCATTTTACAATAATTGGAATATCTGCTGTGGAAGCTATACTATTAGCTAATATCAGAGCATCATAGGGGAAATTATGATGATAGAATTTGGTATCTTTGAAGTGCTTTATGATCTGCTAATCTGGAGGTAGAGAAATGAAGCTAAGGAGATGTTAACATTTAGATGGTGCATTATGACATTCAGTGGTAGAAGTAGATGGGTATTTTGAATTTTTAGCCTCTTTAAGAGAAGTGACTGACTATGCTTTCTGTTCCATGTAGTGCACTGTGGAATAAAGTCCACAGCGTGAATGTTTATAGGTGGGACTGGTCTGTCTCTCCAGCTCTTCTGTGAGCATGTGAGCTAAGACCCTGCCCTGCATTCTCTAGTTCCTATCAGTGTTTGCTGCACAAGGCCAGGTAGTGATTCCATGGCTGATGGCTCATGCCAGGTCCTTTTTGGTTTAAATTTAGTATAGAGCATGTAAACATTATTTTGATTTTTCTAATAACATCTAATCAAAACTATCAATACTTATAAAATGCTAATAATGTGAGTCCCCTATGTAATTGTCACTTGAGTCCTGAAATGACATTTCTAAGTGGAAAAACTGTGGGAAGCATTGTTTTCAGACAAAGTGGAAAAAGAATCAAAGACCAAAGAGTGAGTTAATGGATGGTTAGGAGGAAAACCAAGGTGTCCCTGGCAGCTACCACTTACTTTTAAGAGACCCCTTTGAGTTTTGTTAATTGCCCAAATAAACAGCTCTCCAGGACTGAGTGAGCTTCTTTTTCATGATACTCTATGGGGAGAGGAGCAGGAGACCAGCTCACTTGACTCCTGCAAACTTGCTTTTTAATGATCTCTCAGATTTCTCCACACAGAGAAGGAAACTGTACTGTCTGTTCGTAGCAAGTGGATTCTCTCTGCTATTTAAAGTGGCCTGTCTTCTGTGTCTTTTAATCATGAGCATGAGTGCATTGTTTTGTGGAGCCCCGTAGGTCTGAGATCCATTAAACTATGTGTAATCATCACGTTAGCTTAGTGGACACACTGACTCAAACCTGGTCAGTTTCTTGGCTTTATGTTCTTTGGCCACACACATTTCAAAGGGATACCCAGTAGCAGAAAGCCAAAGCAGAAGCAGTTCTTGGTATGCACAGAAGTCCTGGAAATGTGTTTTTACCTGCTGAGGAATATCTTCTAAAAGGCAATCTGGAAGTCATCTTGGTTTATTTTAGTTTCTTGATCTAACAAAACCACTTTTCCTCCCAATAG